GGTGAGATGGGAATGTGGGGGTGTTGGTATGAGGTGAGATGGGAATGTGGGGGTGTTGGTATGGAGGTGAAAGTGAGATGGGAATGTGGGGGTGTTGTTATGGGGTGAGATGGGAATGTGGGAGTGTTGGTATGGTGTAAGATGGGGATGTGGGGATGTTGGTATGGGGTGAGATGGGAATGTAGGGGTGTTGTTATGAGGTGAGATGGGAATGTGGGGGTGTTGGTATGGAGGTGAGATGAGAATGTGGGGGTGTTGGTATGGAGGTGAGATGGGAATGTGGGGGTGTTGGTATGGAGGTGAGATGAGAATGTGGGGGTGTTGGTATGGGGGTGAGATGACAGAACTGAGGTGGTGTGGGGAATGTCATAGTTGGTGGCTATCATCATGGAGACATCTGTTGGTGGCTATCATCATGGAGACATGTGTTGGTGGCTATCATCATGGAGACATGTGTTGGTGGCTATCATCATGGAGACATGTGCTGGTGGCTATCATCATGGAGACATGTGTTGGTGGCTATCATCATGGAGACATGAGTTGGTGGTTATCATCATGGAGACCTTTCACCTTCATCAATCTTCCCTAGGTCTCAGCTAGCAATGTCATGTACACAATAATTAGCTAAATAGCTGGAACAATAGTTCCCACAATAAAAATATAAATAGCCTGAAAAGTTGTAAAACACCATCCGTCCCAAACAATATTCAAAAGAAAAACACAACTCCATTCCTTGAATTGTGTTTCAATAGATTGATGTATTTTGTAAGAAACCATCACAACAAAAAGAAAGAAACAACAAAAAGACAAATCTAAGTGCTGCATTGTACATCAAGTTATTGGTAGCAGCAGAACAAATTGGCCTCAACCCAACAATGTGAACTCTTGGGGCTATTTGTACAAAATTTACATTTGTAGGTATTCTCAGAGTGTTGATGGTGTAGTCATGATGGTGTAGTCATGAAGGTATTGATGGTATGATAGTAGTGGCAATGTGATTGTAGTGGTGCTAAGATCTGAACTGTAAGACTTCAAGCTACTTCAAGCTACTTGTTACAAATATAGCTGGTAATGTGATTGTAGCGGTGCTAAGAAGTGGATTGTTGGACACCAAGCTGCTAGTTAAACGTTGCTATTGTGGAGCTGGTTGGATTGCTCTGATGTCCAGATTCACCAAGAATTTGTATTCTTCCTCACATTAAAAAAAACAAAAATCATTTTATTCTTAGCATTTGTATTTCTAAACAAAATTAATTGGCATCATTTTGCATTGACTACAAGAGCCAGTTGGAGGAGCTCACAAGACAGTTATTTATCTGCATCAGTGGTTCTCAAATTAAGGTCTGAAATTTCTTCATCTGCCTCCACAAAAATTTCAGTGACTGAATTCAGATTTTAAGCTCATTTCTACCAACTTTCAAATTAATTCATATGGACCAGGAGTACATAAATTTCTACAGTTTATCAACCAGGTGTACATATATTTCTATAGTTAGGTTATCAACCAGATGTACATTTTTTTTCTATAGTTTGTTTATCATCCTGGTGTACATACATTTCTATAGTTTGATTATGCAATTCAAATGATTTCTTCTCTGATTTATGAAAGTTAAAAGTAGATACACTAATATACAAATGAGATAAATATGAGATGTTCAATATTTAATCCAGAAGTGAGAACAAACAACAACAACAAACAACAACAACAACAACCTGATGGCCCTTGAAAGATGGTGTTATTAACACCATGTCCAGAAAATTACCCACCTATTTCGAATAAAGATGGTTCTCAAAAAAACTGTTCTTGTTAAATGAATAATTCCCACATTTTTCTTAGAAACAAATGCTGCAGTTTTAAAGATTAACATTTGCCTCAGATAACAAATAATTTGAGAAACACTGATGTTCATAAAGTGGTTGGGCAGCGGTTGCAAAGCTGACATCAGAATCATTCAGAAGAGCTGGCTCCGGCACCAAACTCGTCGGCAGGTTGAGTGGATGGCGAGTCTCTGCTCCCCCTGGACAGATCCAAGACCAGCCTCTCTCTGTGTCGGTCCGACCTGTCGCCACGGTCGTGTTTGTGCTTGTGTTTGTGCTTGTGTTTATTCTTCTTCTTCTTCTTCTTGGACTTGTGGTGTGACCGCTCTCTCTCCCTGGCCTCGCTGGCAGCCACTGGAAGCAATACAAACAACAGAAAACTGTTAGACACAAACGACTCGCTCAAATATTCATGTGTTCCCAGTGTAGGGATTCGTCATCAGTGCTTCTCAGCCTAGCTCATAGTGGCACACAGAGGGAGAAGCAGGGTACATAATACGTCATGTCATTTTCTTTGGAGAAAAACTTTTTCAGATATAAAGGAGCTAAAAAGAACTTGGACGACACCAGATGCAACTAATTGTGTCCCTTTGTTCTAGGTCACTGATTCCCCCTTCAAACCTCCCCAACCCCCGGTCCCCAGTACCCTTAAAAAATATAAATTTATTAAGAGATAATGAAGGGGAGCATAGATGAAACATTGGTTATCTCAATCAATAATGTACCCTCAATCAATAATGTACCCTCAATCAATAATGTACCAGTAGATAGAGGATTGCCAGTAAAGGCATCATCCTAATGATGCCCCAAATGATGCCCCAAAAAATAGGTCACCATCAATTTTTCTCTGACTTAAAGTAGGCCAACCTATGACAATCTTTTTCTCTGATTTAAAGCAGGCCAACCTGTGACATTCTCTTTCTCTGATTTAAACCAGGCTAACCTGTCAAATGGTTATTTGTGAGCCTTAAATTACATGTGGGACCCAACGGCTGTGTTTTAAAAGGGGCAGTGAGTTGTTCTATCTATGAGACATGTCAGGGGTTTAAATAGCTGGCTTAGGACAAACCCTTCAATGTGTAGACTTGTATCATCAGTGGGATAAAATGAACAAACATTGGGTCAATCAATGTATTGAAAGAACTCACCAGCAGCTATCAGTATAATGACCAAACATTCTATGTCAACCTATGTAATAAATGAACTCACCAGCAGCTATCAGTATAATGACCAAACATTCTATGTCAACCTACATATTGAAAAAACTCACCAGCAGCTATCAGTATAATGACCAAACATTCTATGTCAACCTATGTAATAAATGAACTCACCAGCAGCTATCAGTATAATGACCAAACAATCTATGTCAACCTATGTAATAAATGAACTCACCAGCAGCTATCAGTATAATGACCAAACAATCTATGTCAACCTATGTAATAAATGAACTCACCAGCAGCTATCAGTATAATGACCAAACATTCTATGTCAACCTATGTAATAAATGAACTCACCAGCAGCTATCAGTATAATGACCAAACATTCTATGTCAACCTATGTAATAAATGAACTCACCAGCAGCTATCAGTATAATGACCAAACAATCTATAAAACAATCTATGTCAACCTATGTAATAAATGAACTCACCAGCAGCTATCAGTATAATGACCAAACATTCTATGTCAACCTATGTAATAAATGAACTCACCAGCAGCTATCAGTATAATGACCAAACAATCTATGTCAACCTATGTAATAAATGAACTCACCAGCAACTATCAGTATAATGACCAAACAATCTATGTCAACCTATGTAATAAATGAACTCACCAGCAACTATCAGTATAATGACCAAACATTCTATGTCAACCTATGTAATAAATGAACTCACCAGCAGCTATCAGTATAATGACCAAACAATCTATGTCAACCTATGTAATAAATGAACTCACCAGCAACTATCAGTATAATGACCAAACAATCTATGTCAACCTATGTAATAAATGAACTCACCAGCAACTATCAGTATAATGACCAAACATTCTATGTCAACCTATGTAATAAATGAACTCACCAGCAGCTATCAGTATAATGACCAAACAATCTATGTCAACCTATGTAATAAATGAACTCACCAGCAGCACTCAGGTTGAATGTTGTTTTCAGGCTAGGCTTAGCAGAAGTTGGCGACAATATAGCAGCTCCCCCTTTCGAGGTCCCCGCTGTTGACACAATAATGGGTGGAATTTTCTTAACTTCTGGTTCTGGAGAGCTGTGATATGACGGCACGCTCAGCTTTCTTTTCAGTGAAAGCGGTGGACTGGGAGCCGGGGGTGCGTCACTGACAAACCCATGTGGCGGTCTTTGGGGTGGTATTGGCCAAAGGTGTTGGGGCGGAGATTGGATGCCAGGAGAATACAAGGGTTCGGAAACAGTCTCAACTATCAGCTCAGGGGACGGGGGTTGATACGAGAATTCTCTGGGTAGGGATGGGGGCTGGGATGATGTGGGCTGCTGTGACAATGATCTGGGTAAGGATAGGGGTTGCGGAGACGGGGGTCGCTGTGACAATGATCTGGGTAAGGATAGGGGTTGCGGAGACGGGGGTCGCTGTGACAATGATCTGGGTAAGGATAGGGGTTGCGGAGACGGGGGTCGCTGTGACAATGATCTGGGTAAAGATGGGGGTTGCGGTGATGGTGGTCGCTGTGACAATGATCTGGGTAAGGATAGGGGTTGGGGAGACGGGGGTCGCTGTGACAATGATCTGGGTAAAGAGGGGGGGTGCGGTGATGATGGTCGCTGTGACAATCGTCTTGATAAGGCAGGTGGCTGGGGTGATGGGGGCTGCAGTGACAATGATCGGGGTAAGGATGGGGGTTGCGGAGACGGGGGATGACAATGATCTGGGTAACAAGGGGGGTTGTGGAGACGGGGGTCCCTGTGACAATCCTCTTGATAAGGAAGGGGGCTGGGGGGATGGTGGTTGCGGAGATGGGGGTAGCGGAGATAGGGGATTGGGAGACAATGGTTGCGGAGATGGTTGCTGTGACAATATTCTGGGTAAGGATGGGGGTTGGGGTGAAAAAGCTGCTGGCAGATCTGGTGGAGGGGATGGTGGTTCTGACGTCATAGGGGATTCGGGGCGTGAGTCAATGGCCGATTTCTCAAAGGAAAAGACTTCTTCTTTGACCAGAGGAACACCATCTTTGACAGGGCCATAGTCCTGAAAACTGTCACTAACAGATCCATAATCCTGAACACTGTCATTAACAGGGCCATGGTCCTGAACACTTTGAGAAATGATTTCTTCTTTGATTTCCTTGGATCCATGAATCTCCCTGGGATCAGACTTTTCATCTTCTATGATGTACCCCGGAGAGCTCGGGGGAGAAGCTGGCGGGGAGGATCGTGTGGGGCTTGGACTTTTGTGGGCAGAGGATGCTTGGGACGATGAGGTTTCATGTTTCACTTGCACATCACTCCAGCGGGGCGGAGAAGACGGGAAGATGCTCATGGGTATCGTCGGGTCAGTTTTGATGATGTTATCGAGGGAGACAATCACATCATCTGGGTGACCTGAGAGCATCCAAAAAAAATGTATGGCCTTTGTTTGTTGCATAACTAATTAAACTTTATTTACTATCACATACATTTTAAAGCTAATGGTACGATGCACAAGACACAAGATGGTTATTGGTGCAGGTGACAACACTATGGTGGCATCTTTCACAAACCTTTGCTTGGTGGAGACTGGACAGGAGAGAGTGATTCTTCACTTAGGTGACTGATACTGTCTTTTCGTGACAGTGAACGGGGGACACTGTCATATCGTGACAAACCCTGTGACAGATCAATCTGGAAAGATGTCTTGTTGACATCAGTGAACAGCTCAATCTTTGGCTAGGAAAAATAAACATTTCACACTATGATTGAAGTATATGTTCTGATTAACCATTGTCAAGTATGGGTATTCACTAGTAATTGTTGTGCACCAAATATTGTGTTTCATTGTGCTGTGTGTTTGTTTTGAAAGTTAGTTGACTTAATGAAAGTTTTTCCAGTCATTAAGTTGGTGAGTATATTTATTGTAATTATGACATAGTGTACACTGCCTTTGGCTACATGCATTTCTGTTTAAAGAACTCGGCAGTGAAAGGTTGTGATTTTTCTTCTTCTTATAGCAAGCTGTATTATACATGTGTTTGATTCTTTGATTCATTGTACATGTTCTGGCTTAAAGTTGACATTGCTAATAGAAAAAGACCTGTGTTCACTTTGGTGGGATTAGGATGTATGAACGTATGAATATGGATCTGTGACAATCAGAAGTTCCTTGTTGGCAAAATTAAAATTCCCAACTCTGGATGGCCAAATTTTAAATGTCCCAACTCTAGTTAGCGTAATATTTATTTCCCCAACTCTAGATAGCCAAATTTATAATGCCCCAACTCTAGATGGCCATATATTAAATGCACCCAACTCTAGATGGCAAAATATATAATGTCGCAACTCAAGATGGCCAAATATAAGATGCCCCAATTCTTGAAGACCAAACATTAAATACCCCAATTCTTGGTGACCAAACATTAAATACCCCAATTCTTGGTGACCAAACATTAAATACCCCAATTCTTGGTGACCAAACATTAAATACCCCAATTCTTGATGACCAAACATTAAATACCCCACTGCTTGATGACCAAACATTCCGCTCACCTTTATCTCCACATCTGAATCATCTTGTGCTGGCTCTGTCGTCACAGATTCCTCCATGGCAACAGTTTGCTCCCCTGAGATCATGGTCAAATCTACGGGGAATCTGTCTGAACTCTGGATTGAAAAATAATAGGTTAAAATTAAAGTGTTGCAAATAGCAGGTGTCCAGCAAAGGTATTCACTATTAATTGTTGCGCACCGAATATTGTGTTTAGTATTGCGCAGTGTGTCCTGTGGGATAGTATAGATAATGCTTTTCCTGCCAATGGGCTTGTGCTGTATTTTATTGTAGCCATTACTTGGTGTCTATAGTCTGTCTTGAGTGTACCTGCTATTCCTTTGGCAGTCGATGAGAGAACTTTGTTGAAAAAGGTTGTACTTCTACTCATATCGAGTTGTGTTATACTGTGTTTGATTCACTGTAAAGCTTGACAGATATGTTTCTGAATTAAAGTTTACATTGCCCTTGGAAAAGGGACTTGTATTCACTTTGTTGTGACTACGATGTATGAACATGTAAAAGAATTTATGGAAAGAAACCAATCAAAACAGCATAAAGTAAAGTGTTGAAATACAGTTAGTCTTCATTGTCCATCTCAAATGAATTAGGAGAGGCAATTAAAAGTCTACAACCCAGTGCTGAAGAATTTTTCTTATGGATAAAAATTGTGTAACCATACTCTTATGATAGCCTATTGCCAAAGTATTCAACATAGAACTCAGACGCACACTTACAATATCTATACCGTCTTTTGTATAAACCACCACATAATGGTATAGATTAGGCCCATTAACCCACGAACTGTGGCATGCATCATTCTGTGGTGTGGAGCTTTTCAGAGTGTTTTGAGTGCCATTTGAACTTGCATTAAATGACATAGAAATATTGATACAAGACCCCTATAAGTATATATTTTTAGAAAGGTAAATGGATGGGGATAACGTTGACCATATTGTCCACCCTGTAAAAAAAAATTTTGCTCAGAGTCCTTGACCTTGGAGTTCTCAAGAAAAAAAATATGTACGAAATGTCTTGTTTTCAAGTGCTCATAACATCATTAATTTTTATAGATAAACTTAAAACACAAATCTAAATGCTGTAGCCAATTCATTTATCTTTCAGAAAATATATTGTTTGCTAAGGTTTTGATTGCAATTTAACCTCTGAAAGCAATTTTAATAATTTTAGGCCATTTATATAAGAAACTGGAACCACTGCTAAAACCAAGTACAAAATAAAAAATCTCAGACAAAATAGTTATTATTGACTAGTAAACATTTAAAAAGAAACTGTGGAACTGATTTGGGTTGTTTAACTATAAAATTTATTAGTTCTGAACTATAATCTGTAGCTTCTATGATTAAAATTCAGTCAGTCCTTGCCCAACCTCCAGGCCTGACTCGAAGTCTAACAGTAGCCTCAGTAGGCCTACTTTAGTATCACTAAGACTAGTATAAAATTCACTAGAAGAATAATCTCAACTGATATCGTCATGGCCAATGTTAAAATCATCATCAGTATCACTTAAAACCTCTCCTAAAAAGCTTTCAAACATAGTTCTATTAGTTCTTGCACTGAAGGCCCAGCCATAGCTTAGTTAACTAATTATAAAAAGTGTTGGACTGCGATAAAGCTTTAAAATAGATTAATAAGACACAAACAAATTGTGTCAATCTAACAATATAAGTTACGCTTTAATAATAATTATACATCATACACAATTTAATGTTTCGGCACATGCCTTCATCAGTACAAACAAAACAAAACAAATTTAAATAAGTATAAATTAAATTTACATAATATCAATATACATATCCTACCTAAAACAGAAAAAATATAGGAGAGGGCGCTAAAACCAGACAAAAACAAAGTAAAGAGGAATAGAAAGGAAGTGCTTTTAACATAATTGTAAAAACCAAACCGGAAAACGACATGGCAGCTAAGTAAAATTGTGGATTTGGTTCATTCCATATGGAGACAACGTACCAAATCTAGTTATTGATTTGTTCTCCATATAGATTCTATCTGCAGTGTTACTAGTATAGAGTATACCAGTAACTGCAATGTCTGAGATACCATCATGGTTAGGGCCATAGCTTCAACCATTTTAGCTTTAAAAAAAACCAGCGATATAAAACTCCGATTAAAAAGTATTTATTTTTAAGTTTTCACGAAACAGCTTGAACCGGAAGATGATTTAATTATTAATAAAAGGAAGTGGCTATAATTCCGGTTAAAGATTGGAAGTTGCTAACGCACCGTATTTTTAAACCCGCCACAGTACAGAATGAGAATGTAAGCCGATTTTTTCGGCCGACCGCAGTTCGTGGGTTAAATGACCACCAAACAAGTTATTTTTAAAAGTCCCTTGAATATATTGGTTATGCCCCTTAAATAACCCACCATCTAAGTTAGCTATATAGTTATATAGGTTGAATCTCTGATGCAAACAATTGCCACACAAAATAATGATGCTATTTAGAATGTTGAAGAGACATACTTAAGATTACAGATCCTATCAGAAAAGACCAATTTAAAAATACTGATGTTATGTCTATTGAAATAGTTTCTTTTATCTCTTGGTGCATTTTTAAATTTCTTTTTATTATTATTCGTCCTTTGCACATGAAAACGACCAAGGCATTATTCAACTTGAGTAGTAGCTTTGACATCAGCCGAATTTGGTTTCAACTGAGGGAGAGTTTCTCAACACAGCTGCCTCACTCTCTCTCGTCCTTCTCTTTTTCATCCAATGGCAAGGCTTAGTCAAGATGACCGGAAATAGATCAGGATGCAAAAAGATGACCAGCAGCGTTTTCCGTGTCTCGCTGTGCTCTTTATGCATTCCAAGTTGCAGGATCTGTCTGAATTTTCATCGTGTCAATGTCATATGGCATAGGGGGTCTCAATCTCAAGGTTTGATTTCAGAGTTTGCCTTCTCTTAGATGAGTTGCCGTCCAGGGTTAACGAGTTTCATCCACTCGGGACGCTGTTGTTTTTTTTGACGTTCAAGGTTTTTGCTGGGGTTTGAACTCCATCTACAACCTTCGAGTTGACCAAGTTTAGACAACTCTGCCACTTTTAAACTTTCTAAACAATAAGTGAAGGATGTCATCCTGTTACCCCCTGAATTAAGCACAGCATTTATACAATACATATACTGTACTCACATCATCCATGACATCCATATCCAGATTGATCTTAACCGTGGAAGGTGGAAGACTCTCTGATATGGTGGTTTCATGCACAGGGGAGGCAAATATGCTGGACAACTCTGGGTTCCACACTACTAGGCTCCCCTGGGAAGGCTCGGACACACTGAGGTCATCGGCTGTTATCTGGACATAAAAATGGAAATCATCAATACCAACAGGTGATGAGTGGGTTCTCTTTCCAACTTAATTGTGTGGAGGAAATTCTCAAGCAGTGCTGCTAAACACACTATGAGTCTGATGATAAAAGGGGGGTTACTCAGACATTCAACTGTGACAGGGAGCTAATCTTAGAGCTATTACTAGCAGAGGTCTGACTGAGAAATGCGGGGTGGAGGGTGGAGAGTCAATGGGAGTATACTGGTTTCATTTTTAATACCTTCTTTTTAATGTGACAAAACCCATATGGCATGCCTGGATGGTGCAGTCATTAGACAAAGATCACATATTGTGACTGTCTGGGGATTAATACCCTAATCTAAACCTAATTTCTACTTCAGCCCTCTCCTTACTTGCACTTGGATGTCTTTGAGGGAAGTACCCTATGGAGACCAACCAAAGATGTTACTACAGTTAGTCACATCCATGTCTGAGCCGTCATTCAATGCCCATAGGTTATCAAATAAAGAAACAACAGAGAGGTTTGCCTTACTTACTTCAGCCTTTGGTTTCTTCTCTTTCTGCATCAGTTTGGTTGTCTGTGTGAGGAAGAGACAGAGCATTGGCTTCAGGTAAAAATAGTTTTATTTTTTTTTTAACTGCAAGATAGTAACAGAGAAAATGACCACCACTAAACATAGTTAACTGAAACATTTCCAACTGTCGATCTGTAACATATCAATACACAAAGTTCTGATGGTTGAGAAAATTCTCCCAACCACTAAGAGATTTGAATGTTGAAGTGAAGATGTTGTTCATGGACTAGAAAGTGTTAAGCTTGGCAGATTTACTGGCTATGGTTATTTCCATCTTACCACAGACATTTACTACTCAACACGGGTAAACAAAACCTTTGCCATAGTTGATTTGAAAGTATCCACACATACAACTTCTGGGCTTGAATGTGTCTTTGTTGGTAAATTGAAGAAAAACATAATAAAAAGCATCATTTCTTTAGCTGGACCTCGGTAAAAAAAAAGTAATACTTACTTCAGGCACTGGTAAACATGTCGGACGCTGACGTCCATAGAGTGTAAAGTACAGGTCAGCAAGTCCGCACCGGAGGCGGCTATCATAGGAGGCGTGGCTGTGGAAGAAATAGTTAAACTTTTCTAAATCTCTTAATATATTGTATGATCCAAACAAGAGATGTCAGATGAAGAGCGTGACCATTTTTATCAACACAGCGGAGGCTAGGACTTGCTGAATAAGCTCAAAATACTAACAAGCAGGCTTGGCTAAGGCTTGCTAAGACAGCATAACACACAGATTCAACTTGTCATTGAACTAGTCAGAAATGAAAATGCATAACTGGATACATGATAATTCAGACAAGCTTACTTACCACATCATATCCCATAACTGGATACATGATAATTTAGACAAGCTAACTTACCACATCATATCCCATAACTGGACACATGATAATTCAGACAAGCTTACTTACCACATCATATCCCATAACTGGACACATGATAATTCAGACAAGCTTACTTACCACATCATATCCCATACCTGGTCACATGATAATTCAGACAAGCTTACTTACCACATCATATCCCATAACTGGTCACATGATAATGCAGACAAGCTTACTTACCACATCATATCCCACAGCCTCTCCACCAGTGGTTCAATATTTAGTGCCGATCTCTCTGAGCGTCGGAATGGTGGATTCTGGGTCAGGCAAGTTACTGTGTGGTGTCTGCGATACAGAGAAACAAGGTTGATTCAAACAGCTTGGCCTGGCTGTTGATGACCGTTAACACAGCCATGTCATATCTGACCAATGCCTAAACCAGCAATGCCGTTTCTGGTCAATAACTCAATCCTTTTTTAAAATTGCTATTTATGCCAACATATGTGTGACCTGCTGGCAGAAATCTCTTTCAGCTACAATAATAAAATGCTTCACTGTTTTGGTGAATGGTTTAATATTGGACAGGGGAACTATCAATATTCCTTTTTTGTTTGTCACACTTCAAGATATAACTAGTAAATGTTTGTGTCATCACTTTTTATTTTCTCTGTTCATCTAAAGTAATTAGGAACCTTCATTTACACCAGAGGTATCATTCATGTACACCAGAGGTATCATTCATGTACACCAGAGGTATCATTCATGTACACCAGAGGTATCATTCATGTACACCAGAGGTATCAATCATGTACACCAGAGGTATCATTCATGTACCCCAGAGGTATCATTCATGTACACCAGACATATCATTCAGGTACACCAGAGGTATCAATCATGTACACCAGAGGTGTCATTCATGTACACCAGAGGTGTCATTCATGTACACCAGAGGTATCATTCATGTACACCAGAGGTATCCAATATTGAAAGTCAAGAGTCTTATTAAAACATTTCATTAATCTAAGATGCTGCATTCCAAAATGAATCCAAGTAAATTGTCAATGGGTTAAGGCTACTTCTCAATGGTAGCATTCAACAACTGAAAGACCTGCATGCACTCTATCAACGGTAGCATTCAACAACTGAAAGACCTGCATGCACCCTATCAGTGGTAGCATTCAACAACTGAAAGACCAGCATGCACCCCATGTGATGGAATGGGGACCTCTGGTCAGTGTAGTAGATGATAATATAATAGGTAACATATGTAAAGTGGTTCCAACATACTTGAGGTAGGGATCTTGTTCTTTCTCTATGTAATCCAGCACCCACTGAAGATGTTCACCGGTTACATCCCCTAAATAGATTAACAAGATGATAAAAACAATGAATCAAATAATTGAGGGGCAGACTCCTCGGGGTGGAGGGTGCACAAAATATTACATGATCCCCCTTCCCCCTCCCCCATTCCTTACACCCCACTGTACATGGGAAGCTGACTTCACCTCTGATAAAGTCCACCAGACAGGTGATGGCGGCCACCCTCACGTCACGAAAGATGCCCCTCTGTGCGTAGTCCTTGAAGACATCCGACTCAATGGGCAAGTGCCCCAACTTCTGTAACGTTCTGATTGTGTACAAACAGCTGAGGATTTGAATGCAAAATAAAATGGCATTAAAAGAAAGTATCAATGGTGTCAAGCCATTTCTTGACACTTAAATTATGTGTCTCTTGATTATCTTGGATAATCCCAAAGGCCAGACGGTAAAGTATGTGTTTCTGGATAACCTGAGATTATCTTACAGTCCAGACATAAACTAATTAAAATAGCAACTAATGGCTGAACCCGTAGGAAATATTATTTTTTCAAAATCTAAGTATAACAGACTACAAATGAATCCAATGTTTATAGGATGGGTCAGTTACCTTTTGGTAACATTGTGTCAAAGTAGGATTTCCAATGCATTCAGATGACAACATTCTTTATGTCCATCAACTCTACAATATTTTTTACGTCATTTTTCATTAGATATTTTGTCTTCTGCCTTTGAAAACCCTTATCTGTGTCACGCCTGGCCTGTCACAGGTACTGTAGATTGCTGACTTCTGGTTTACACAACCTAAAAGGCATCAATTTGTCTATGTCTTGTAGCAAGGCATCAGTTTCTCTATGCTGACTTCTAAATATGACAGATGAATGAACCCAATGCTTTCAGTACCTGACAGTGACGTTGTACTTGTAGCAAGGCATCAGTTTCTCTATGCTTACTTCTAAATATGACAGATGAATGAACCCCATGCTTTCAGTACCTGACAGTGACGTTGTACTTGTAGCAAGGCATCAGTTTCTCTATGCTTACTTCTAAATATGACAGATGAATGAACCCAATGCTTTCAGTACCTGACAGTGACGTTGTACTTGTAGCAAGGCATCAGTTTCTCTATGTTGAGACATCTGACCACCTCCTCCACCACAAGTTTCATGTTTTCTGATAATGTTGCCGCAGTAACCACTTGCCTGGTTTGGGATGGGACAGAAGAAATACCAGATATTATTGGATGGGACAGAAGAAATACCAGACATTATTGGATGGGACTGAAGAAATACCAGACATTATTGGATGGGACTGAAGAAATACCAGACATTATTGGATGGGACAGAAGAAATACCAGACATTATTGGATGGGACAGAAGAAATATCAGACATTATTGGATGGGACTGAAGAAATACCAGACATTATTGGATGGGACAGAAGAAATACCAGACATTATTGGATGGGACAGAAGAAATATCAGACATTATTGGATGGGACAGAAGAAATATCAGACATTATTGGATGGGACAGAAGAAATATCAGACATTATTGGATGGGACAGAAGAAATACCAGACATTATTGGATGGGACTGAAGAAATATCAGACATTATTGGATGGGACAGAAGAAATACCAGACATCATTGGATGGGACAGAAGAAATACCAGACATTATTGGATGGGACAGAAGAAATACCAGACATTATTGGATGGGACTGAAGAAATATCAGACATTATTGGATGGGACAGAAGAAATACCAGACATCATTGGACGAGCAAATTCAAATTAAAGAACCTCTAAAAACAAAGTTTTTCCTATTAATCCTTGATAAAATGGAATATTGAGCAATGGGGGGTGGGGCTGAAAATTTGACAAAACATGCATGCAAGTAAGGCACTTTGTAAGAATCCCAATTAATGCTCCCCCCCCTCCCCTCCCCAGCTCACAACCGCACATTTTTTTTAAAGCCCCTGAACAATAACATTATTCTAATGAACCACCCGCTTTTACCCAGCAGATTTTTTGCAACAACTATTTCAGAAAAAAATATTTTAAATGCACCAAATGGACTTGCAATATTTTTTTTAAAGATCTCATTTAGCGCAGTTATTGGGAATTTCATTGTGTGAAATCAGTGTCATCATATTTCCTTCATCTTCCCCTTGAAAAACAGAAAAAAATGACTTTTGAGGGTTGGGACAGTTTTGTTTATATATCCCTCTGACCTGGCCTTGTCAGCGTACCACCTTCCAGGATGGGTGACAAGTTGTTAGAATAATAAGATGCCAGACCAACGTCTGCAGCGCACATTTGGTCTACATTTAAGCCACGCCAAATGAATCGGTATAATACTGGTTGTATTCCCTTACAGTTAAGAAAGACCCTTAGAAACAAGATGAGCATATAGCTAAGTACTAGATATGGCAAATTAGCCAAGTGGGTCAATTAGCCGTCCGAAGATTTTGCCGATCAGCCACTAACAAAAGCGAAGTTAATATAAAGAATTTTTTTTTTTTAATGTTTGAATCTTTGTTTAACTTAAAAGGAATTTGAAACAAAGGGAAAAAAAGTTGTTGCTTTGTAGGGGTGTGCCGGAATCCGGTTCCGCCGGATTTTACACTATCCGGTGAAATCCGGTTCCGCCGGATTTACATGTATCCGGAACAACCGGAATCCGGAATATACCGGATTTCGGAATTTGCCAGATTTTGTGACTCACCGGATCATAATCTGAAATAAAAGTAATTCTCTTTCCCGAATTCCACACGATCACGATACATTAATAGATTGTTTCGAGTGTTGAGCTTGTTTAATGTTTAATATTCCGAACATACCAGAGGCTAGAGTCAGCACCGCTAATAGTGGCCAATAGTGTAGGGACTTTGATAAGAAAATTTAAACTTTTTGTAAAAATAAACCAATGGCATAGTTGAAAAGAGGTAATTTTTTAAAGAATTATAACACCAAAATCATATTTTTAGCTGTTGTAGTTTTAAAGTTATGAATTTTTAAAGTACGACTTGGTTTGTCATTTTTTAACATGGACTGCATCTCCACATTCTGTGATCTCATTCCGCCAATCCCGTCATGCGCAATGACTATATAGTTTATATAAGGCAACGCATTCCCTGCCTTATCACTAAAATACTGTTTAGACTTAGTTTAAACTTTCAACTTTGGCACATGAATAATTAATTAAAGCTTTCCCTGACCAATGGTTTAATAGTTTTTGCACACGGCAAACTCTTATGAATGAAACTCTGAGGTAGTACTACGATACAGTTATGCAAGTGGCTGTGAATGGTTGCCAATGACAACGTGTTGCACACGGTAAATTCTGATCATTTATAATATGGATTCTACCGGGTTGTTAAAGCTCAAATTAAAACATTCCAGTTTAAATGTCTTTAAAATGCATTCTGAAACACAAGTTATCAATTATTTTGATGTAAATAGTGATAATAAATTAATATTTCCTAAGTATCTGCAACTTCCGCCATTAAAAAGGGGAGCGTGGCCAACCCCATGGCGAAATTAGGTTGAGCGAGCTGCATGACCTGCTGCGAACGCGTAGAAACATGGCGTCTCTTGTAAGACACTTATCCAAATGGAACGGAACTCAAATATATATCGAAAGTACTAATTTAATAATAAATAGACACACACATCGGAAAATTAAAAACTCGGATTTTTTGGCGCCGATTGCGAATTCCCATACACAAAAAGTAGTAGTCTATCTTGACTTACCGAAGTATCTACCAATAGTACCAAAATCCGGATTATTCCGGAATCCGGATTATTCCGGAATCCGAATCCGGAGTTTTTTTGCATAAGGAAATCCGGATCCGGCACACCCCTATTGCTTTGCTTATAATCTAACTAAATTCAATATTTTCAAAGAACTTAGGGCTTGTGTTACAGACTGCTGTCTGTCACATACAAAGCTCACATACCCTGTGATGAGTGATACATTGGTCACTGCTGGTGTAATGCTGGCAGATAGTGCCTCGACTAACGCAGCTCTGTAGTAATTGTCTGACCACTGAAAGTATACAAAAATCATTTGCCTTCATAAGAGTACTTTTTTTTAAAAATGTATTATGAACAATGAGCTACAACAATTTTGCCAGATGACATATATTTTTGATCATATAACATGTGCCTCATAAGAACACCATTTTTTTTTTTTTTTATGTTGAGGAATAGGTCAAAAGTGTATGTGTCATAGGCAAAATTTCATTGAAGTAACAAATAATTATTTTTTTTTAAAATACTTCAGTGGAGACTCCCATCAAAAGTTAAAAAAAAAAATTTTGCCAGATGATATATATTTTTGATCATATAACATGTGCCTCATAAAAAAACCATTTTTTTTTTTTTTTATGTTGAGGAATAGGTCAAAAGTGTATGTGTCATAGGCAAAATTTCATTGAAGTAGCAAATAATTATTTTTTTTTAAAATACTTCAGTGGAGACTCCCATCAAAAGGTAAAAAAAAAATCAACACTTCTAGCTCTTATGTTTATAGAGGATAAATGGACACACAATATTTATAATAACAAAACGATTTTTTTTTTAAGAATCCTTTAAAACATGACTTATTTCGGCAATAATTTGAAATCATCCATGGATGGATAGGCATCAACCTATGTTTTAATCAGCAGACCATCCATGGATGGATAGGCATCAACCTATGTTTTAGTAAGCAGGTGACCCACCTTGTTCCTGGAGTTGTCATTGTATTTGAAGAGGTCCAGGAGGAATTTAGTGATCTCATTGAGACACAGGTTGTGAATGTCCCTCAGTCTGGCCATGGCCTGGGGCATAGTCTGAGGTGGACAGTAGTGTACTAAGTCATTCAGATTGCAACTAATTATACAGTTATATAAATGATATTAGTTTATGAAGTATGGTATATAAATATAGTATAGAAATGTATGAAGTAATTGATATATCAATGATATTTAAGATATAGTAATTGATTAATTACTTTAATAACTTGTAATTGAATTCTACATAACTGATAGACAAATCATAATATATGAGGGACTTTGTTCAAGCAGTGTGAAGTAAATAAATATTATATAAATATATAAAGATATATTTAGGTTTGAAAAAATAAACAGAACAATTAAAAGGATTTTTGGGTTAAATGCCTTCTTTAGCAAACAAAAGAAAACAAGAATAATGATGACAGTTGGGCTTACCTGTGGCAGGTAATAATGATAGTTGTGCTTACCTTCAGCAGGTAATAGTGATGGAAGTTAGAAAAGTTGTTCTGTCTGACAATGGCAGGGCAGGAGTGAGAACCAAACATTTTACGGAAAATGGCGATCATGGCCGGTGGGCCTGTCCAGGTCCCCACCATCAAATTGGCAATCTGCAAAAACAAGGTTAGTCAAACTTTTTAGCACGAATTAGATGAATTGCCATTGATGGAATCACGGCAAAGGAAATGAGCAAAACAAAGTTTGGGAAAACCTGACAAAAAGACGCAACATTGCAAGTGTCTACAATGCAGCTAAGTATTTATTTTTATTTGATATTGTTTTCACTGTTGTTTGTTCGCTGAAGAAGGCTTCTTAATGACAGGTTCTTTGTTTTGTTGCGTTCTTTTTTCAGGTTTTCCCAAACTTTGTTTTCGCTCATTTCCTTTTACCGAACCTGACTGCCATGGAATTACAGCACTTGTAGTAAGTTTTAGTGCTTTGTGACCGAAGGAATCACAGATCAAAGCATAATGAAGTTCCTAGTCTGGCAAGCACATACTTTAGAGAAATAGAACAAAGTTCCTAGTCTAGTAAGCACCTACTTTTGCCAGGCAGTAGCAGGCATCTTGTCGAACCCTGTAGTAGCACTCTTCATTCTCTATAGTGTCTGTGAGAGCGTAACGTGACGATGGGGTAGGAAATCTGCCCAGAGCTTCAATGGCCTGATGGAATGGCAGAATAGATTAGTTAGTACATATATTCATTGCTCATTATCTAATAGACATAAAAAATGCTAAGAGGAAATAATCTCCATAGACATTAATAATACTTAGATCCCATACAAAAAAGCAAATATATAATTAATAAAGGTTTACAGAAGCCGGTAGCCTGGACTTACAGAAGTCAGCAGCCTAGATTTACAGAGGCCAGGTAGCCTGGACTTACAGAAGCCAGCAGACTAGATTTACAGAGGCCAGGTAGCCTGGACTTACAGAAGTCGGTACTGACAACATTTTACTTGTCAAGATTCAAGTACTTGAGTTACCTCAAACTGGGCCACAATGCACCTCTCAAACCTCAGCTGGTACTGCCACATGTAATCTGGCTGCTCGAAGCTGACAGTCCTCAAAAGATGCATGTCAGGGTCCAAACGTAGCCACAACACTGGTGAGTCGGCACTGCAAGAGGATATAGGTGGCAGACTTTAAACCATGTCCCTGAACATCCAAGAGATTCTTAAACATAACTTCACAAGCAGTAATCCAGATTTTAAATCTGTGAGGTCTTTATTTTAAACATTAATATCTAATAATTAACTTATGTTGTCAGTGTGGTTAGCTTATGGGTTAGGCTGTGGGGTTTATTTAAGATCAATTTTTTTTAGAGGGGTGGGGTGTTAAATTTCATAAAAAAAGAAAAAGAGAAAAGGTACTCAGTACAATTTATTCAGAAAAAAAATTGCATACAAAATTTAGTAAAACAATGAGTAAAACATATACATCATAATCTGTGATTTTAAAAAAAGTACTCAGTACAATATAGAGGGGGAAAAAGTACTCACTCCATTGCACTCAAGTCCATGTCGACTTCCTCTCCTGTCATGAGAGGTATTTTCTTTTTCTTGTTTCTGTAAGAAATAAAATTCAGAGAACATTTTCCTATTTAATCTTATGTTTGACAGGTTGGTAAAAATTGTTTTTTTGAACAGTAACAGTTGTATGATATGCAAATTGTGTGCCCCTGCAAATCCCAGCATCAAAGAGCTTGCAAGAAAATGTTTCTCTAGGTACATGTATTGTACATTACTAGCCACTTTCCATGGGAATATTGTAATTAATTTTCAATCTTCATATTATTCCCTAAAAATTTATTTTATAAAATGTATATTCTCATAAACCTAGACTTACTTATCATATGAAATTTCATTCTGTATTGGTCAAATTCTCCCAAAAATGCTGATAATCATAAAACTTAGCATAAATGACAGAAATCCTAACTCAAGATTCTCACTAACCTTCTACTCTTGGAGTGACACGTAATCTCAAACTTGGTCTTGTTCTCCTCAATCTTAAACTGGTGGTTGAATGATCCATCCAGCTCTTGGATTGTAACATTCAGGGCACCCTTAACAAATTAAATGGAATAATGGCATGAAAGGACAGCTCTTGGGTTGTAACATTCAGGGCACCCTTAACAAATTAAATGGAATAATGGCATGAAAGGACAGCTCTTGGGTTGTTACATTCGGGCATGGGTGCCACTCACTAAAACCTGTAAACCCTGAAATCCCTTTCGAAAAATTTCTTGAAACCTGAAACTTCATTTACAAATTTTTCAAACCCTGAAACCTTAGAAAACTCATAAAATTCCTCCACTGTGGAAAGTAACTTGACACAACAAGAAGCAAGGGGCTTGCAAATGAAAGCCAGAGGCTTACAAACAAAAGCAAGAGGTCACAAAACATGTTCTATTTATAGCCAACCCGCTTCTCGCTGAATAGGCTTTCGCGCGCTCTTACATACTGATTTTTTTTTTTAAAACCCAGAATCCGTATTTGAATAAACTGAATTGGCGAATCCAGAGCTGACAAATATTTAGCCTCACTTAACCGGAAGTCCGGGATAATCCTGAAAAGTGGCACCCCTGCATTCAGGGCACTCTTAACAAAATAAATGGAATCGTGACATGAGAGGAGCTGAACATTTATCTTTCAGTATTATTATGCATGTTGGTACAATATGTCTTATAACTGTAATATGTAAGAAGGAAGTGCAAACATGTCTATTTTTCTCAAGGATCATTAATATTCCTTGGAGTTGAATGTTACAGGATTGAATTTGTCTTTAATTTTCCTCTACACTACCAATACAAACTGCACGGCCATATTCTTGAGCAAGTTTCCTCCGTAAAGTACCTGGGTGTTACCATTCAAAGAGAGGTCCGCTGGGACGAGCATATTAACAATGTATGTAACCAAGCAAACCAAGCCTTGGGGTTCTTAAGGCGAAATCTAAAGATTGGCAACTCCTGTGTGAAAGAAAGAGCATATAAAGCCTTTATCCGTCCGATTTTAGATTATGCATCTTCAGTCTGGGACCCATTTACCCAGAAGAGCATTGACAGGTTGGAGGCGGTCCAGCGACGAGCAGCACGCTTTGTCCTAAACCGCTACAGGAATACCTCTAGTGTTGGCAGCATGCTAGAAACACTAGGCTGGTCACCATTGGAGAAACGACGACGACAATCCAGGCTCTCCATGATGTACAAGATAAATAATGGGCTGGTCCACTGTTCCAGTATTAAACAGAAACTCGTCCCTCTCCCCCATAGACAGCGACGAGGCCATGACAGGCAATTCAGGCTCATACCAGCAAGAAGCCAGTATAGGAGCTGCTCATTCCTGCCCAAGACAATCAGGGACTGGAACCATCTTTCAAAAGGAACAGTTGAGGCGACAACACTAGACACATTTGTGTCTATTGCCTCAAGCCTTCAAACCCCTAGTGCATAATTTCCTCATCACCACCAGTAACAGAAACATTGCAAATCCCATCTACATGCATAGGAGCCAAAATGATCAATAAATTGATCGTGGGCCCTTAAGATATAGAAGAAGAAGAAGAATATATAGAAATTAAAAAATGCAAGAGTTACAATTCCGTTACACATCAGAGTGTCCTCCCCTAGTTAAGGAATTGTAGTTGATTTAACACAATTAGCCTAACATTAATATGACACTAGAGCATAAAATTGGCATACCACATATTTCAGTGCTCCTGGTGCGTTGAGGTCCTGTCGTATCTCCAACTCAACTACATTACGCTTCCTGTTGAACACAAAGCTGCCTGTGAACCTAGCACACCCTCCCTGGTATCTTGATCAGGTTGTTAAGAAAACATTTCATCATTCTAGGTTAATTGACTTGAACATTAAAAGATAAGGAGAGAGGAAACCAAACTAAATTTTTCCATTCTTGAGGGAGGTGATTGTAGATGTGAAAAGAATTATCTTCATGAATCTTTTTTTTTTAGTTGGATATTTCATTTTAAAGATATATTAGTCATTATTTTAAGCTAAGATGTTAGGTTATAAAAAAAAATATTATATTTTAAGGAAAAAATTAATACTAACTAGTTCCAAGTTGTATGTTTATTACAATAAATTTATCTTCACTGTGTCATTTGTTAGGCTCTTAGAAAAACTCTTTTTCTTAAGAAAAGCAAATAAACCAAATAATTTTATTCCACACAACCCTAAGAACTATTTTTAGACTCTGCACACTGTTCCTGTAATTAAATGATTGGTTTTGACAGCCCCACCCCTTTTTTCTTCACTCAGTTGTGTATAATTATGTTGACAATGTCCATTTGAAAGAAGTAATCCAAGGATACACCCACTGGTCAATAAATGGCTCTATGTCTTTTCCAGTCACAGTGTAGATAATCTTGAGAAACTGTCAGATGATAACATCAAGACAAGCATGAAAATATAATGGACAAATATTCAACACAAAATATTGAGTGCCTCACAGTGAACACTTGGCTTCTAATGTAGAGAAGTACTAATGAAGACCACTGACATAAGACTGAATATGATTTATAATAAGGCTTATTTAAGCCACTGCCATCAGACTGATCATTTCCTGATTGATGGTGGAACCCATGGACATAGTCACTATTCAAGTTGTTGTAAAAAGTGTTATGTGTTAATTCATGTGATCAAAACAGCTCATGCTGTTATGGGAAAATCTGAAGATAAAAAAAAATTTTATGTTTTGTTTCATATACTTCTTTTCCCTACCCTATTTCATACTTCCAACTTTTCAAACATATCACAGTGGCACCAAGACCCCCACCCCTTCGCTTACTATACTTATTACTCACAGATGAGGTAGACACCAACATGTTGGTCCAACTGTTGAAACCAAATGACTGCTGGCTGGCATTGTAGGCCAGGGACAAAAGTTTGTTCAGTACCTGAAAGTTTCAACAAATTAAGAAAAGATTACAAAATAATGAGATAATACAAGCCAAATGCATGATACAAGCTTCATATTATTATCCTTTTACAGATTTCCTTGCAAATATATAACGGCACAGCTCTGATTTACTAATTAATGATTAAATGTGAATTCATTAGTCAAGATTAAAGTAATTTAATTATTTCTGATGATCCAAATTCTATTATATTGTAAAGTACCAGTCTCCAGATGATCCAAATTCTATTACATGGTAAAGTATCAGTTTTCAGATTATCCTTATTCTATTACACGGTAACATACCAGTTTTCAGCTGATCCCAATTTACTATACTGTAATGTAACAGTTTGACTACTTCCATATTTAAACATGAGTATTATTAACAAACAGCAATCTGTTCATTCGTTGATATACCTGCAGTAGCAGCTCTGTTCCTATTCTAATTTCCAACATCCTCATGACCAGCCGAGCCTTCTTGCTGAAGATTTCAATGTACCGGGGGGACAGGGTGTGTGGAGACTGTATGGAGAAGGGGTGATTGCTGTCACGTTTGGCAGGGTCCAACACCACGTATCCAACCTGCTGTTCGTACTCACTGACTTCGAGCAGGTCCTGTCAAAGAAATGCTGTTTTAGTAGTACTTTCAGTGGGTACTCTTAAAGGAAATAGAATGACAAATAATTTAAGCAGGTTCATTAAATAGAAATGCAATTAAAAATACTTCCTCATGAATCTAATAGGTTTAAGATCAAAGTGTGTCAATACCAAACACAAGTAATAAATATTCAAATATCTATAACAAAATAACAAGAGAGTAGTTACTACAAAAACAAAGAATACATGTTGAACAATAGCTTGAAGATCTGTTAAGCATTCAAACAGAAAAGCAATAAATATTATGAAATATTGATGGCTATATATTTTTTTGTAATGCTTTCATATTATCATTAGGTCTATATATCGTTCAGTAGGTTAAGTTGATGGCTATATATTTTTTGTAATGTTTTCATATTCTCAATGGTCTAGATAACTTTCAGTAAATTTAGAAAAACAACAAAATTTCATTCCTGACTTTCCCGCACTTACCCTCATGACCCAGTTTCTGTACTCATTGTTCCCGAAGGTTCTTTTGCTGAACAAATAAGAGAGATAACCAGTTATGCCTTTGGTCAGCCAGGCATCTGCCCAGGACTCCATCGCGATGAAGCTTCCAAAGAATTGCTGTGCTACGGCTGTTGCCATCAGCTGTCTCGAGGCCATGGTCTGGTCTATTATGTTTGGAGGGTGCAGTAGGTTGGTGCTGAAAGAAGAAAATAGGTCAGGTTTATTTTTTTTTTACATGATAAAAGAAATTAGCAGTAAAGCAAGGATATATAATGCATAATTCTCAAATATTCTGGTTGATGTCAAATATTTGGGCTTGTCTAAGGTCTTATGATTCTGGCGACTGTTGAGATGGGTGTAATCCTTGTCACACAACAGACTAGTTTGATTCAGCCAACACTAAAGCTTCATGATACATAAGGCGTTTATTTCTGACAACATTACAACATTAATCTGGTTCAAAGTTAAGTTGCGACATGAATCCATATGTAGCACAATGTTCTACTCAGCAAAACATCTCGCAGCGAATCTATATAAAAAAGACATGTCTCGCTGTCGCTTGCCCTATCTCACACACTAACTCAAAGTTCCTAGTTCGCTCTAAGTCTCAGAACATACTACCACCCCACTCAAAAAGTTGCCTCCCCTTTTATAACCCCAAAATTCCATGCAATAGTGACATGAAAATCGTTCACGCTCGCTCACAAGCCCCATTTGTCACAAAAATCAAAACACACACATTCTCTCTGATTTCATGACCTTGACTATAATAGCTAAAATTTAAATACATGTAGAGGGATACAATGCATAAAAATAACTATGACCAACAATAAATATGGTTAAATTAGCTGACCCCATAAGTTTTAGGTGTATTGTGACTGAAGGAATCACAGCACCTTGATTAAGTTTTAGATGTGTTGTGATTGAAAATAGCTTGGTTAAATCAGCCAAATGGTCCGCCATACCTCAGAATGCTCATGGTGGAATAGGTGGCCACCTCACAGTAGGCTTCATCAACAAACACTTGCTTGTAGTACGAGTACGGGTAGCGGCTGGACATCAACTCTTCATAAAACTCAAAAGCCTGAGATCACAAGAGTGATTTAACTCTTAATTATAATAAAACAAAAAACCAGTTGGTAATGAAATACTCAAACTTCAAGGGGATATTATATATCTACAGTAATTTGACCAATAGAAAGCTGGAAATGAGGTTGACTACCAAACAGAACTCACCTGATGTATGTAGCTGGTTGTATGTTTCAAGACTGGCATGAGCTTGGGCAGACAAAAGTGGGTCACTTCATGCATCTTTGGGTCCACCAAGATCTCGAACGGTCTTTTTACAAAAAAGACAAACCAATAAATAATAATGAACCTATCTATCAGATTAAAAACTAAAATGCACAAACCTATAAGTCATAATTATACAGAAACGAGCTCAATCATTCTTAGAAGCATAAGGAGTTAAGTGATTATGAGCAGGGTGATTGTGCCTGAAAATTCAAATAACAGAGAGTCATAAGGAGAAAGAGAACAGGATGTGGATATGTCATTTATCTATTAAGAGACTTGAGCATAGAATAAGCATAGACTATAGCAGGAGACAACATGTTACCAAATGAATGCATCACAACTTTTCAGCACTAAAGTGATCAGGATGAATCATTTACCCGACAGCCAGAGCAATATTAGGTGCCGCCACCGGACTGGACAGGAAGTAATGGTAGGTTTTCTCCAAGACATCTTCTGTAAATTCAACGCTGACGAGGTCCCCACATGACACCGCTGTCATATCACGGTCCACTGTCACCTCAATCTTCCAGGTGCACGGCTCAGAGAAAGAGTCCACACAGGGAAACCACATTCTGACAAAGGATAAGGGGTAATAATTAATTTTTTTACAAAGCTCAAAATTCAATCAGGCATTTAGCCGAGCATCTATTTTAAACACAATGACAACGTTGGCTGACCTTGAGAAATTCTCCACAGAGTATGTGAACATGTGAGCGCTCCTCTCGGCCATCGTGCCTGGCATGTCTGGAACAACAAAATGGACCCCTCCTTTGGCATCCTTCAAGCCAAACTCAACACACACTTGGAAACTTGACAATGCTGGAGTTGAAAATCATTTTAAATTTGAGGTGTCTTTTGTGAAAAATGTTAGAGAATAATTAAATTTTTTAAAAATCTTTCCAGAGAATTTTATAGTCAGGTGGTCAACATATTTTTCCTGATGTTCAGTGTTCAAGCATATTAAGTATTTTATACAATAGATACAAAACTGCCCTTTTTAAAGATTATAACTAATCACTGTGTTGTTTGTTGCTTGCTGAATACTTGGAGAACAACCAACCTGATATAGCCGGCAAGATTTCTTTAGGCAATGTGATAATCAACTCTCCGTTGCCTTGGTCTGAGTCAACCGCCGTAAGGGCATTTCTCTGACATTTTTGGAAGTAGTCGATGTTGCGCCTGACAAAAGAGTTAATTTACTATCAATCGATGCACTTGCAGTTCATTTCTCAGTAATTCCCCATTCATTTCTTAGTAAGCTTTTAATTACCAGACAAAAATGTGAAAACACCCTAAGCGGTTTATTTTAAGCTTTTAAAATTCTTCAATATTTATTTATTTATTTATTTAGGCATTTTTTATATAGCGCTTACCTTAAAGCTCTAAGCGCTTTACAATTATTAAAAACATGTAAACTAAGTAAAATAAAAATGAGACACTAGGATAGTAACTACTATACTATAGAAACAATTAAAATGGCTATATAATGAGGACACTTTGGCACGTTTTGGCGTATACTACAGGAACAGAAAATGAGGCAGGGCGAGATAAATAAAATATCAGATAAAGTTATAAGTATTAAAAGAAGTGTACTCACTTGACAGGATTCCCCTGGCAAATATTGAGAGTTGGGTCAAAGTAACTGAACTCTGCATCCCAACGTTTGTCAATGTTGACACGATAAACGACTGTTTTGTTAAGGTAATAATGAAAAGGTTATAAAATAAAGATGACAAGATAGACTTGATGTTAAAAGGCTGATCAGACAAGCAAATTTATCAGGAAATTCTCAATAAAAATCTTTAAATAAACATATACTTTGATTAATCTAAGTCCGACATCTTAAAGGATACTGCATTGTTTGCTGTTGAGTCTGATCTCTGTCAGATCAGGCACAGTGGGCCAAATGGTCAGCTCAACATAACCCTACAAACAAAAACAAAAAGAGCTGGAGTTTAAAGTCTCTAGCTTATCTGGTAGTCACTTTCATTTTATACTTGACTATTTCAACACAAACACACTCACTGCAACAGCAGACACAAGTTAAGTGAAATAAAAGCTATACAAATATTTACACTGACTGCTTGGTTTTTCAGGCCACTGATTTGTGTTATTTTGTTATGTCGTTAATTACATTTACTTACCACTAATGATTTATTTTCAAAGTTAATTCCATTAATGCAAAGAATCTGATGAGCTGCAAAGGATTCAAATATAACATTGTATTTTAGCAATAAATCTAAAATGAATTCATGTATTTGTCAACAACAAAGTTTAGGAAACTTTAGCATTTTATATGTCATTCTGAATTGTGAAACAAAAAAAACAAAAAGAAAAAACACAGTATCATGGCATCACAGAATTAAGCCAACTTGAAACATAGCCATTATTGATATAATGCTCTGATACTGTCCCAAATAGGGTTGAACAAATAGACTAACGGTTCGATAAATGTCTGATTCCAAAATAAATACTGTAAAATCTCAAGTGAGGCTGTTTGCAGATGACTGTCTTGTCTACAGAGAGATAAATGGCTATGATGACCACAACCACCTCCAAGTGGATTTGAAGTGCCTTATGAATTGGGCAGACAAATGGGGCATGAAATTTAACGAAACCAAATGCTACACTAGAGCATCTCAAGAAAATACCATCAACCTATATGTACTCTCTAAACAAGACCATTCTCCAACAAGTATTAAATAATCAGACCTTTGGAACTCTCTTCTTGAATAATCTAAAATGGTCACCCATATAAACAACATTTTTTAAAAAGTCATTGGTCACCCCTATTAACAAAATTTTTAAAAAAAAGCCAACTCCACAATTGGTCTCATTCGAAGAAATCTGAGCCACTGCCCAGCATCCTGCAAACGAAAAGCCTATCTCGCATTCGTCCATCCGCTACTAGAATATGGTGCGATAATCTGGGACCCATACCTAAAGCAAGACGTGGACTGGACAAAATGGAGCGATTACAACGCAATGCAGAGCACTTCATCACAAGTGACTACAAATCCACCACTCCTGGCTTCGTCACTGACCTCTTATAAAGATTTGACATCCCCTCCCTCAAAGACAGACGAGAAAAGCTCTGTCTAACATTTCTCTATAAAGTGGTCACTGAGCTAGTGCCGGCCATTCCAGCTAATACATGTCTGACCCCGCAGAAGCCAGGTCGTTCAATCAGAGCCAAACGCTCAGTAAACACTGACTTCACCTCTGACAACTCCACGAGCAGTTACATCATAAACTTGTGTCTTGTGTGTTTTAAGTTTAACATTTCACGTTTCAGTGGATGAAACTTAAAACATCTGAAGACTTGGTAATTTTTAATGATTTTTTTTTTGTTATGAACTAAAACTGACTTTTTTGTTTCCCTTTTATGATTTGTCAAATTGTGCTTCAGCTAATTTTTGTATGACATGCCCGTCGGATGAAAATCTGCTGCACTAGTTGTCCAGTCGCTGGATGTGTGAAAGTGAAGTGCCTTCAGCCTTCAAAATAGCCTTTGCCTTTATTTAAGTTTAAGAAATTATTGCTCAATCAAATTCAAACTGCACTAAAATCTTCAGTTTTAATTTTTACACCCACAGTACACTAACCCCTTACTGTCACTAGAAGCGGTGAAACTTTAAAATAAAAATCATGGATTTATGGACCTCTCTACATTCACTAACTTAACTAAAAAGTTAACTAAACATGCAAAATCTAACAATGCTATTGAATTTGTTTTAAACATTGTTTACTAGTAATGTATGGGGTTTTTAATTTAAATATTTCTTATCAAATTAAAAACCTTTGGAAACTTACAAACTTTAAATAAACGTGAAGGTTCGGTCCTTGTTTCTTTTTTCATGACTTCATAATTCAATCAAAATTGGTTTATAGGTCATTGTCCTTACCGAAAGCAAACGGGGACAAATTTATGTTTATATACCGAAAAACATTAATTTCAATGTCAACACAAGAAATAGTTGAAAAGGTCAGGATACAAAAAAAATCCAATTAGTTAATAATCTAATTTTAATTAAATGTGTGTAAATATTTTACAGGTGCCAATCTAAGATAAAATAACACACAGAACAGAAGTTGAATGAACTGGTCATTTTGACGTAAAACATGGCAGAACACAGATGTAAAGAACCAGAGAAAAGTTACAGTCAGACCAGATAGGTAAGACGAGTGACAGGTGCAAGAATAAACTTTTAAAACTGAACTATCAGTGTCACCGATTTTTTTTCTGGTTTAAAAGATATATTTAGGAAACATCAAGGTAGTCTAATACTTAATTTAAATAATAATATATATTCAGAAAACATCTTCACACGCATTGCCATTATCAGATGAAAAATCCGTTGCAATCTGTTGCTCAGAACCATGAAATTAAATGTAAAAATACATTCTCAATAGTTTTATGACATCAGACCTGTTTACTCCCTTATGATTTTGGCAAACAGTTACAGTGTACGATTTTGAGGTGTATAGATTGTATAAACTGTGTTTATTTTTTTACTATAAATATAGAGTAAAAACAATTTTGTGATGATATTGTATGATTTTAAGAGTTTGGTGGTAAACAGGTCTGTGACATGCATCTGTTTTAATCAAATTTGTTGTTGTTTTTAATATATTTTTTATTAGTCACGGATGTGATGAAATCATATATTTGGGTAAAAGCTGTTTATTTCTTGGCTCGGTATCAAGTGAAACCTTTGCAGCAGTCTGTGTAGAAATGGGTTAATTTTAATTAAATTAATGTTTAGTCTACGACGCAGTTTTAACGCTTTTTGAAGTTGCATTCTAGTGGATCCTGACGTAGTGTAAGCATGCAGACAAACACAAATCTATGCAATAGATTTAAATGACGTAATATTGGTTCATCCTTAAATGATTGTAAAATGACCTATTTTCGAGCAATCCTCAACTCTTGTTATTGTTACTTGGAGTTAGACTAAATTACAACAATAATGTGGAATAATTTATAACCAATATTTAATGTACCATATCATTTTGTGTTTTTCTAGTGGAAAGTAAATAAACAAGCACAGATATCTGATATGTCAGGTTAGTCCTTTTTTAAAATGTATTTAAATTTAATAGTTAATTCAATATTGGCAATTAATTTTGAGACTAATTTCAATAGTCCCATTATTTATTGCCTTTATTAAATGAGGAAATTTTTATCACTTGTTATCTTGTTTATTTTAAATTCTACCATTTGTTTGACATATGAACAGTGCTATTAGACATTATAATTACTAATTTAAGAAGTAAATTTATGCAATCTGCGCATGAAGATGTTTCCCATAGGCCATCTTGGTTGTCTTGACCCGCAACCAAGGTGGAGGCAGTGTAAAAAAACACACATCTGCTAAAATGGGGAGGGGAAATGGAGAGAATGTGCTGGTTTAGCTATTTAGCTGGTTCATGCTGCTTTCCCTTAACTCTACCTTAACACACGAGTGGCTAGTTACCCACTGTCGACACTGTGGTAAGATAACTGTAAAAATGAAGAAAACATACAAAATAAGTTTTAAATCACGCAAACCCAACTTTAAGTTTCATGGAACACACTTAATTTCAGGCTCCAACTAAAAAAAAATCCAAAAGTAGTCAGAAAATCACTAAAATTCTATAACCATTCTCCAAAATGCCGGAAAATTATTATAATTAACCAACCAATGAAATTTTAATTGAAAACGTTCCATTGTCATATTAAGGAAAAGTTAACTCTAGTAAAAACACATGATTAAACTAAAGGGAGATGATACGCAGCTAAACATGCATATCCATCCATCTCTTGTCGATTCCGCTGTCCAGACTTTGCGGGGGTGCATTGATGATGTCAAGTCTTGGATGACACTCAGCAAGTTGAAGCTTAATGATGACAAAACAGAAGCACTCCTCATTTACAATCACAAATCATCCTCTACCTCAACTCTTCCCACCTCATTTCAAGTAGGTAACTCCGACATACAGTTTACACCCTCTGCTAGGAATCTTGGTTATATTCTTTCTAACAACATGTCTCTCGATAAACATATCTCTCACATTTGTCGTTCGGCATACACCGCTATCCGTCAGATCAGCTCCATCCGCCACTACCTCACAGTTAGCGCAACAAAAACTCTAGTCTGTGCTCTTGTTCTCTCTCGTCTTGACTATTGCAACTCACTTCTGTCAGGTTCACCGAAACATTTCATAGAAAAACTGCAGAAAGTTCAAAACTCTGCTGCTAGGCTTGTTCTTAAGGCAAAAAAACGCGATCACGTCACTCCACTACTCCACTCACTACATTGGCTCCCTATACAGGCACGCATTGACTACAAGCTGTCTCTTCTCTGTCACAACTTTTTCTCGGATTCCTGCCCTTCCTATCTAACTGAACTTCTTTCTGTCTAGTTTTGGCTTGGTTTAGGTCCTACCTCTCTGATAGAACGCAAATGGTCTCTGTCGATGGCTGTCTCTCCGGCAGTGCTGATTTGGTGTACGGAGTGCCACAGGGGTCCGTTTTGGGTCCGGTTCTATTCATAATGTAAACCAGGCCACTGCTCCTCTTGCTTGGGAGGCATGCTGTTGAGAACCAGTCATTTGCAGATGATACGAAGCTATACATGCATACCCATCCATCTCTTGTCGATTCCGCTGTCCAGACTTTGCGGGGGTGCATTGATGATGTCAAGTCTTGGATGACACTCAGCAAGTTGAAGCTTAATGATGACAAAACAGAAGCACTCGTCATTTACAATCACAAATCATCCTCTACCTCAACTCTTCCCACCTCATTTCAAGTAGGTAACTCCGACATACAGTTTACACCCTCTGCTAGGAATCTTGGTTATATTCTTTCTAACAACATGTCTCTCGATAAACATATCTCTCACATTTGTCGTTCGGCATACACCGCTATCCGTCAGATCAGCTCCATCCGCCACTACCTCACAGTTAGCGCAACAAAAACTCTAGTCTGTGCTCTTGTTCTCTCTCGTCTTGACTATTGCAACTCACTTCTGTCAGGTTCACCGAAACATTTCATAGAAAAACTGCAGAAAGTTCAAAACTCTGCTGCTAGGCTTGTTCTTAAGGCAAAAAAACGCGATCACGTCACTCCACTACTCCACTCACTACATTGGCTCCCTATACAGGCACGCATTGACTACAAGCTGTCTGTTCTCTGTCACAACTTTTTCTCGGATTCCTGCCCTTCCTATCTAACTGAACTTCTTTCTGTCTATTCACCCCTTCGACAACTTCGCTCCTCCACAGACTCGCGTATTCTGTCCGTTCCCAAGACACGCACTAAATTATATGGTGAACGAACTTTCTCTTTCTGTGCCCCCAAACAATGGAATTCTTTGCCACTACACATACGCAATATACCAACCACACAGGCCTTCAAAACTGCACTCAAAACACATCTATTTAAACTCTACTACCCTGACTGATTCCCCTCCTATAAAGCGATGAACGTACATGGGTTTCCTTGTAAAATTTCTGGGGTGGGTGGGTGAATATACCTCTGGTGTTGTTTTACTTATATGTTGTTTTTATTTCATTTATGTATTTTATTTTAATATCATGATTATGCCTCTTTGCTATATTTATGTACAGCATGGTGAGCCCAGCTCTAGGCTGGGGTACCGCGCTATATAAGACCACTTATTATTATTATTATTACTGTTTGAACAATTTTTTTGCCTGAATTTGAGAAAGAGGTAATTAAAATCTCTGTCAGATTTTGGCACAAGTGGAAATCATGTGGACTATTTAAGTCATGACTGATAATTTTAAACTATAAATTAAGGATATTTTCCCCCGGGATTATAAGGGCCATCACACGATTTTTAGTTTTTATCATACATATGTAACCTGAAATTGACAGTGATGTTCAGCTTTCTGTTGTGTTGGAAAGTATTCATAGAGAAGATGTCACTTTTACATATTTAATACTTTAATAGTAAGGGTGTATTATCTATAAATTTTTTAACAAATTTTTATTTCGAAAGTGTGACATACTTTAGGGGTGATAGTCTGAGATATGTACTGGAGGGGGGCAAAATTGTTTTTAAAAAAGTGAGACGTACTTTATGGATGGTCCCAAGCTATTTTATGCTTGTGACTTTACACAATTACTGGTTACCATATTTTATTTATAAAGACAAAGTCAGAGTTTTAATCTCTGGCACACACATACCTATCAGTCATCAATAATTGTCACATGTTGGAATTGTTTTGTTTTCAAACAAATCATATATTTTAAAAAATCCAAACAAAAGGTTTTCATGTGATAGGCTGTGTCACCATAAATCTTGTTATTACAATTTATGTTTGTCTCAGTGCGTCTTAAAATGGGTTAGTTTAACCCCCATTACACTGATAAAGGACTCACTATGTCACAAAATTATAAGTATCTAAATAGTGTGTCACCAACATAAAAAGTTTCAAGAGCACCGGGCTAGGCTATTGAATACTGATGGTTTAAGACTAAAGATCCCCTAACTCTAATGAGAATTCTAGTATATAGTCATTATTGTATTGTAAATGATCTGTATTTATATTCTAGAGATGTCATGAGGTACAGCTACTTACAGTGCAGTGATGCAAAATAATTACTTTAAAAAATGTACATATATATTTTTTTGCCAATATTTTCTCTCCCAACTCCATTGAACTCTCTTTCACACCTTTTTGGAGACCAAGGGCAGATCACAACTGCTGTAAATTAAATAATTTGTTTTCTCTTTATCATATTCTTCAGATGTTGAAGAGACTTTGTCTAGTTCAGCATCGGCATCCACCTCCTCATCTACAACATCAACAGACAGTTCACAGTGCAGCCCACCTTTGAGTAGCACATCTCTAGGAACATGTCAGGCAGCATC